AATATTTTATTTAATTAATTTGAACCAAGTTTTTACCTCGGTCATGTTCCTTCCGTTTTCAGTTATGTTCTCCTGATTTTGTAGAAATCGAGATGAAAATTCTAAATAATATTTTATTCTTTCATCAGATGTTAAGTCTCATTCACTTTTTGCCCCCTAACGAACGAAAGAAGCTGAAACAACATTCTTCATCTTTTTCACCTAACAAATTGAAACACCATTCTTCATCTTCTCTAAGAAGGAAGGAAACTCAAACCTCAAACCAACATTTTTCTTTGAGTCTCTCATCACATTTTCGATATATATAAGTTGCTCTCAAACCGACTGAGCATTTACATCGGACTGAGCTCATGAACCATAAGAAAACTTTTGATGCGTGAAAAACTTAAGAGCTAAACAGAGACTTTCTAAGACAATCCCCAAACAAACAAGAGCTTTTACTGATTTAGTTCGCAACCAAATAATTTGTTACAGAAGATACTTTACTTAAGAGATAACACGCTCTTAGATAAATTAAAATTATGCTCTCTCCTTGAACAATGACTCTCAGTAAGTACAAGAACATTCTCAAATCACTTAGGCAAAATATATATGAGAGAAATGAGAGATTTATAGAAAAGGTAAGGGGTGTGAAAGTATGAACATTTTGTGATTGATTTAAAATGATTCAGAAACTCTAATAGCACAACAAAACCACTACAATTAAACCGGATTAAATAATATTATCAAAATACAATACAAACAAAATACAATTTATTTATGTTTGGTTATGATTGGTTTAATTAAATTTAAATTTAAATCAATACAAATTAAACAAAATACCATTTAGTTATACTGATTTGAATATACACACTTGATGATGTAATCAAAATATTGAATGAAGATTGCACAACTTAAGCTTTTACCTAAAGCATAAGTTTTTTGTGATCTAAAAAAAAGGAAAACCCTAGTGCATTAGGTCAATCATCCAGTTCTATAACCCATATTAAACCTACAGAAGATGTTAAGTGCAAATATATAATATCACCTTGGAAAAAAGAAATTAAAACAAAACTTTTTCCATCATTACATCTAAGAATAATTAAAAATATATATATAATGCTTAAGCTTTTAGTTGAAGTCTTCCAAACAAAAGTCATTTTTTTTTGTTTGAGCATGAGTATAAGAAGAAAAAGAAAAAAAACAATTCTTTTATGATTTATTGATATACAAATTTCTACCAATATTTTATGTCTAAACTTGTAGATATATAGCATGTTGAAACAAAATTGATTAATACCATATCCCTTGGATTTTGATGATAACAAAGTATTTAAAGAACAATTGGATTTTCTAGCATCTGCTCAAACTTGAGGAATATAACTATTAAGAACAGATGAAGAGATGCTTAAGGAATATGAATACGAAGATCAGACTCTGCCTTTGAAGATCACTTCTGAAGAAAGTCAGCCTCTGGTGATTCAGACTTTGAAGTTTCAGAAGTCAAGAAGTGGACTCTGATGTGATCATCCTCTAAAGAGTGAAGTCTGAAGAAAGTCAACATCTAAAGTAGAATCTCTTCAACCGAGACAACTCTTACAGAATCAAAGAACTTTTAACCACGTGAAGACTTAAGAAGAAAATATATTCTTGAATGTTTGACCTTCAACATATAATTCCTCTTGTAGAAACGTGTTTTATTAATGTGTCTAATCAAGTACAAAGCTAGTTCAACTGTAATATCTCATATTCCCTTAAATGCTTAATTGGGTGTCAGATGAGATTAAATGAGTTCGTATGTAGTCTATCTTTTGTCAGTTAGAACAGTTAGAGCTCCGGAGTACTCTAAATATTGTTAGCTGGGACCAATAGAGTAATCAATAAACTCTGAAGATATCAATCAATATTAAAAGAGATTGATCATTATTAATAAGTACAAGAGGAGATGTTTTGATAACATTAATATTTGGTCAACTGGTATTAGAAGACAAAATATCAATTGAGATATTTTGTTACCAACTTTTAATACTAACCACACATATTATATATTATATTATATATGTGTATGTGGTAGAAAGAAGAAACAGTGGGTATAGAAAGAGAAATGAGTTATTAGAAAGAAAAGAAGGAAAGAAAACAAGAAAGGAAAGAAAGGAAAAACATGGAGAAGAGAAAGGGGAAAAGAAGAGAATAAGAAGAAGGTCATAGGGGAGTTGTCATCATCATCATCAACCACATCTCAATTTCTTCATCATCTCCTTGGATAAAGGTGAGTTCCATAGATAGTTTAGCCTTGGGGGAGAAAGCATGAAATATTGGGTTAGGATATTGTGTATGGAACTATGAAATTGATGTTGTTCTTGCTCATATGTTGATGTTGCTTCTATGTTGTTCTTGTTGTCTTTGATTTTCATGGCGGCACATGTATGTTGTTCTTGAATCACACTTCATAATCTCTTGAATATTGTGGGTTCATGTTTTGGAATAATTTTTTATGGTGGGTGTTATTGTGGTCTTTGATCACATGATATTTTGGGTCATTGAGTGCATAAGTGTAGTGGAGGAAAATTGAGATTAAGTTATTGATTAACTTAACTCATAAAGCAAGATTCGTCACCGTACTTTTTTTCTAAAGAAATGAGAAAAGAGCGAATAAAACCCACAGAAATTTTAAAATAAAACTAATAAAACAGATAGACAAAGGGTAAGGGGTTGGTTATGCAATTGGAAGGTGTTAGCACCCAAAATATCTATAGTACTCTATAGGAACCTCTTGATAATCTTTTTTTACTTAAAATGTGTTGTTTGTAAAATATTGAGGATAGAGAAATATTTTTTTAAAGATTTTTGGTGTTTGACAAGACTTCTTAAGCCTCGTGCGTACGTACCTACAAAGTGCAATGGAGGATCAAAACCTCATAGTTCATGGTAAAAATAATAAAAGAGTTTGGTTTAATTCATTTTTAAGTGGAAAGATAAGTTGTCATTTTAAGGAGAAGATTCAACTAATCACCCACAAGTATGTGAAAATAGACCTTTGCATCACTATTAAGAAGGGTTCCAACTTGGATAATAATCAACCAGTATGCCACTAACTCTCTCAAGTGGAAAAGAATCATCATTAAATCATTACTATAGGGATAAGAGAATCATATCTCAATTATGAAAATGACTCATGTCTAATCCTTAAGAAAATGTCTTAAAAAGAGCCTAGATCTTAAAAAGGTCTTAAAATAACTCATGTCTAATATTAAAAAGGTCTTTAAAAACAACTTCCGAAGGTCCAGAAATAGAGGAGATCGTTCAGATTCATCTTCAAAAGGAAAAACAAGTAAGGAAGTAACATGCTATGGATGTAAGGAGTACGAACACTACAGAAATGTATGCCCAAAGCTTAAGAAAGAAAGCTCCAGAAAAGAAAGCTTCAAGAAAGATGTGTTCAAAGGCAAGAAGAAACGTCTCATGGCGACATGGGACGACTCTGACTCTAAAGTATCATAATCTAATTCTAAAGAGGAGTATGTCAATGTAGCACTCGTGGCTACCACATCTTAAGAAAACACAACTGAAACAGAGTCTGACTCAGAAGAGGTATTCTCTGAAACTTCTCGTGCTGATTTAGAATTATGTCTGTCTGAATCTCTGAATAGGTATCAGAAACTTCAACGCAAATTCAATGACCTGAAAAAGGCTCATAAATATGAAATTGAAGAAACTAAAGGTATCTAGACCAGAATCCGTGCAAATGCACTGGTTATTATATTTTTTTTGTACAATTAAAAAAAATAAAGTAACTATTTAAAACAATGTATGAATCAAAGCACAGAAAAAATGTGTTGTTTTTTTAATTATTTTTATTATTAATATTTTTATTTTAAAATTATTTTTAATTAAGATACAATATTTGTTAAGAAAATAAATACAAGTTATGTATTATTGATGTAATAATTTGACTAATATATGAGCAATTTTATTTTTCTTCGTATGCATTCTTATTATATTTTGACAATAAATGTGCATAAATCATCATTATCCGGCGAACACACATGTATCCATACTAGAATTTGTGCAAACCCATTTGCTATTATTATTTTTTTTTACAATTAAAGAAAATAAAATAACTATATTTAAAATAATGTATGAATCCAAGCACGTAAAAACTATGTTGTTTTTTTAATTATTTCTATTATTAATATTTTATTTTGAAATCATTTTTAATTTAAAATACAATATTTGTTAAGAAAATAAATACAAGATAAGTTATGTATTATTGATGTAATAATTTGACTAATATATAACAATTTTGTTTTTCTTCATATTCATTCTTATTATATTTTAAAAACAAATGCGCATAAATCATCCGTACCCGTGTGAACACACTGGTATCCAGATCAAAATTCATTCAAATGCATATGTTATTACAATTTTTGTATAATTAAAAAACTAAATATAAATATATTTAAAATAATGTATGAATTCAAATACAGAAAAAATATATTTATATTTATTTATGTTACTAATATTTATTTATACAATTAAAAAATATTTATAAATATTATATTATTAGTTGATATTTATAAAATCAAATGATTATATAAGTATTTTTATAAAAAATATCAAAATAAAATTAATATTTATATACGAAAAAAATATATGGTTGATAAGTATTTATGGAAAAATTATATTTATGCTAAATATAAATAAAAATATTTTTTTTTAAAAAGTAACAAACTTTTTTTTATTAAATAAATTTGTTAGTGTATCCTATTAGTTTTTGTAAATAACTGCTTTATTACTTTCACGTTTTATTGCATTGGAACATTATTTTCCACCGCAGCATAGTTTGTAACGTGAATTGAAACACATATTTATTAGTGTAGTACAAAATTTGATGGTGTTCTGTGATGTGCAGCTGGAAATGTACTACGAAAAGCGTCTTCTTCACTTTAACCTTCAAAGTAAGTTACCTCTTTTTTGCTTTTATATGCAACAAAATACAACACTCTTTCTTATGCTCTCTAATGTCTGTTTCATTTTTTCCTCTTAAATGGGAGGCCACTGGGAACCAATGGTGGTATGCATCCCCCATAGACTGTGCTGCTGCTAATGCTCACTATCATTTGGTTCGTGAGATGCTTAAATTCGACAACAACCACCTTTTCAACCTCACTTCGTTGCGTCGGATCCGTCGTCTCGAACTTGTTTGGGACGACGACCGTGAACAATTCAAGGATGTTGCGAAGTGCCGTTCCGAGGTGGCACGGAAGCTTTTTCTTGAGTGTGAGTCCAAGAAAGGGAAGAAGAAAGAGAACTCTCTCATCCGTGCTGGCTATGGTGGATGGCTGATGTACACAGCTGCATCAGCAGGTGACTTGTGTTTTGTTCAACAGCTTGTTGAAATGAACCCTTTGTTGGTGTTTGGAGGCGGAGAGTACACTGTTACTGATACTTTTTATGCTGCTTCTAAAGGAAAGAACTGTGAGGTTTTCAAGTTGGTGTTTGATTTTGCATTGTCTCCGAGGTTTGTTACTGGAAAAGGTAGGGTTATTCTTCCTTCTGTTTACAAGTGGGAGATGAGTAATAGAGCGGTTCACACCGCTTCTCGGGGCGGCAATGCAGAGGTTTTGGAGATGTTTCTCGCAAATTGTTGCGATGTTTTAGCGTATAGAGATGCTCAAGGTTCTACTGTCTTGCATTCTGCTGCAGCTACAGGCCAGCTTGAGGTCAGTTTATTCTATTCGTTTTGTTTAGTAATTAAAGTTTTAAATAACAGTCGCAATCGCGTAAAGACAGTTTCTGTTAAGAGTCTTACATCGGACAATATATGGCATGAACATGTGTTTTTATAAGTGGGGGTAATCTTCATTCTACCAACCGGTTTTGTAGTGTTGAGTTAGGTCCAACCACATTTCTTATAATAAAAGCGATGAATGATACCATTTTAAAGCTTTCATTTTCACAATGTTTTGCATGTTTCATGATTGATTTGATATTTCATGTCACTAATGCAGGTAGTAAAATATCTCACATCATCGTTTGACATAATCAACTCCACAGATGATCACGGAGACACTGCTTTGCATGTGGCTGCTTACAGAGGCCACTTAGCTGTAGTTGAAACTCTAATTTCCGCATCTTCATCACTAATCTCTATAAGAAACCACGCCGGAGAAACTTTTCTCCATAAGGCTGTGTCTGGATTCCAGTCTCCTGCATTCCGAAGATTGGACCGACAGGTCGAGCTTTTGAGAAAGTTACTGAGTGGTGATAAGAAATTTCACATGGAAGAAATCATCAACGCGAAGAATACTGATGGAGAAACCGCTCTTCAAGTTGCGACAACGGGGAACACGAAAATTCCAACTGATCTTATTAAACTCCTGAAGACTGCTCCAATGATAAAGCCGCTACAAGGATTAGGATATAATTCGAGAAAAGCCACGACGGCATCATCATCACAAATGAAAAATGATAGGATTTGCATCAGTCCTGGAACATCGTTTAGAATGTCGGACGCTAAAATGTTAGTGCTTGCAGGCATCGAGAAGAATGCGTCCGATGCTAGTAGTAATACTGATCAAGGAAGTGAGAGAATGAGCTCAACTACATCTGACTCGGCAGCTGAGAATAGACCTTCAAGGGGAACAAATCAGTGACACAAGATACAAATCGGAATCATCATTGTTAATGTGAATCTATGTGCTTTGTAAGTATGGAGTTAATGATTTTGATGTTGTTGATTGTTTGACTTTTGATGATAACAACGCTATGCTTGTTGAAGTCGGTGGTAATATTTTTTCAACTCTCTGATAATGGTGATTAATTTGAAGATATCTTAAGTCTCATCAAATAGAAGATTCAAGATTCTAGTGAAGTGGCATGTTCAATGTATCTGGCAAAGAAACTTGAAACTTCAAATTTGTGAAAGAGAGAAAGTGTGAAGGCTCGTCTAGTCGTGTGTACCTGAGGGATCAGAGTCTTGTAAAAGTAGGACGGTAATTCTTAAGATACTAAGGCAATTCACACACACATACCTAAAACATTTTTACGGCCTTTCTTATTTTGTTAACAACATCTGAAAATATTTTTAAGGTCTAACTAACTAATTAAGAGATTGTGTGATCGATTAGAGGACTTTTCACAACTAAGTAATCGATTAGCCTTATTCATCTAATCGATCATTTTGACTTTATAAAGTCTAAAATCAATGAAATAAACTCTTAAGGATAGGTAAAGGCTAAATATCAAAATATTTTATGGCTTGAACAATCAATTATTGAAGTATAATAATCGATTGGCCTAATAGATTATTCCGTTAATTTGCCCCATGGATTGTTTTCTTTATTAGCCTCATTTTCTCCTATATGAAGGAGACATTTTCTCATTCGAAAACACATCAGAATTCAAAGTTTTTCTATTTATTACTATTTTATTACTCTCCTCCTATCTCTTTAATATTTTTATTTTACCAAGGTTGTTTTAATGTCTTGTAACTGAAAACTACTTGTAAGGAAAATGTTGTACTAGTGACGTGCCATTATTGTCACGACTTCAAGATATTTTAGAAATAATTTCTTTAAGAAAATAGCTTTTAAAATGTGCATATGTGTGTGTGTCTGTGTTGCTTGTGTGTTTGTGTGTGTGCGCGCACGCGCGTGTGTGTCTGTGTGTGATTAGCCATATATCTTCACGAGAAAGACCTTATGTTTTTATAAATATATTGCTCACTCAGACATATTAGGGAGAACTTTCACACACTTCAAGACTTGTCAGATACTTCAATCCTATGGACACTTGCTTGATCATTACTTGGTGATGATGCTTAAGTTATATTCTATTTTTGTGTCATTATCAGATGATCAAATTCACTAAACCCTATTTAGTATGCTTGCATCTTTAACTATTTTATGCTTGACTTTAGTTATCGTCAAAGACTATTTTTTATCATCAAAAGCATGTTCATCTTCAAAAGAGTTTCTTTATTACTAACTTGCAAAATATGGTTTCACATTTTCCCTTTTATTGATGATGACAATACATATCTCAAGGAGGTGGTAGAAGAAATAAACAAATATACTTTGAGTGGTTAAACTCCCCCTCAAGTAAGTAAAAAGTATATTCTACTCCCCCTGAGAGAATACTTGTCCCCCTTTGTAAAAATAAAAAAGGAGAGTAAAGTTACATCGCGATAATTTAAATATGCAGACATATTGGAAAATAAAAATTTATGAAAGGGAAAAGCATCACTTTATTTAATTCAAGGGAAAGTACAAAAAAGAAATTGCAGAAAAGGAAAAAACAAGCAATAAAGGAAAATAAAAAAATTAGTTCATCTCATCATCATCCTCGCTTGACACTATTGGAGATATGAGGTTTATTTTCTCCATTTTTTTGATAAGCTTGTTTATCTTTGAGTCTGTTGCTCTTTGATTATCACAGATATCATTGAGTATGTTTGGAAAGGATGGAGGGAGACCATTGTTTCTTTGTTGTCTTGCCCTTTTTGGAGGTAGTGGGACAATTTATCTTCCTTGAATATTATATCCCATTTTTCTCAAGATGTCTTTCCCTATTTTTGAGTGCATAATTTCCAATTTTTCTTCTTTTAAGTCATAGTCGGTCTAGACTAAGATTTTTGTGAGTAATTTACTATAAGGTAGGATGGTGTTCTTCTTTTTTATATCCAACATGTGATGAAGCATAGAATCTACCCAATTTTTCCGACTTAATTTCCAAAAACCAAACAGAAGGAACATCATATTTTTAGATGGTGATAAAATTGTTTTTCCTTAGGAAAAGAATATGATTCATTGTATAATGAATCAATCTACTATCTGGGATATAAAACTCACAATGAATGCAGATGGTATTCCATAAGATAGATCAATTAGAAGGGTTTGAGCATAGCGTCAAAGTTAAATTCATTACCTTCATAGTTTTTTTATTGTAGTCTTATTGGATGAAGGTTATGTCACAAGCTTAAGCAAACTCTTCAAAGGATAGAACGATGGGATGCTTCTTGAATTCAAAGATAATAACACCATGTTGGTAGGTGACGTTTACATAGAACATTCTCACCAATTCAGGTTACCTTTGTCGCTTGCGCGAAAATAAGGTGCCGGCATGACAGAAGAGTCGCCACCTTTCGTTATTTATCCCTCAGAGCGGGAAAGGAAACGATCGGAAAAACCTGACGAAAAAGGGTAAGACAAGGTCATCGCAACCATTGTCTGGGTTCGGGAGTCGGTTACGCAAGGGGAAGGTATTAGCACCCCTCACGTCCGTCGTACTCGACGGGATCCTCGCTTGTTTGTTTACTTGGACGGGTTGGTTGTAATCTATCTACCTATCAAGGCTGGCTGAAAAAGAAAAGAAAAATGACTCGGCAAAGCGTCGCGCTTTATGCCTACGTATTCCCATCAGAGAATGAGAAATCAGAGTCAACGTAGTTCGGCTAACTACGGGGGAAGATGGGGAAGGTTGCTCGCTAGGATGTCGCATCCTATGCCTACGTACTTTCATCTGGTATGAAAGATCAGAGCGAACGTAGTTCGGGAAACTACTGAAAATATGGCTCAATTAGGAGGGAGACTATCAAGTCCTACTGTTATCATGCCATGGATTCATCCTATGGTTGAGGTTTGAACAGGGAACTCCTAGATGTTGTCATGCATAGGTTTCAACCTAAAAGTCTATCATCAAATCCTCATCAGAAGAAATGAGAGTCCTAAGGGATCATGTCAATGATACATAGAATACAGACAAAAACATCAGTTTAAACAGTAAAATGCATGCAATGCAAGTGAGGGAGGAAATGTGTGTGGGGTATCAGCCTCCACAAGCTCATCTCAACCTCAAGCCAGAATGAATAACAGTAATCATACTGGAAAATAAAACAACCTGCTATCAAGCAAAATACAGTAAACTGCAATCATACAGAGGAAATAAAATCATGCTATCAAGCAAAACAAACCACATGGGTAAGGGAGCAGGGCTCTATCGAATACCCGCAAGCAAAGCCATACAGTAACAATACAAGCAGAGGGAGCAACTCAACCTCTAGTGCAATCATGCTCCTAGATTAAAGTCAGTCTAGATATGGACTTATTCTAATGCATCAAGCAAGTCAAACAAGGCACATCAGCACAGAAAAGAAAACAGACAAGAAAGCAGATCAACAACTCTCTCTCATTTCCAAGCCTCGGCTCTTCTACCAGCAATTCAGTCTTCAGACTTCAACCACCCTTCAAGGATATCATCTTTCATGACAATCATCAATTTGCTTCTCCAGGTTTCAACCCTTCAACATAAGTTTCAACTTAAACTTCACTTCCCCAAGCTTCCAGCTTTTCAGTCAATTCCACCTTCAGGCTTTGCTCTTAACCACAAGCATCAATTTGATTCCTTCAGGCTCTCAAGTCTCAGTGTAAGTATCAACTCATCCTTCAGTCCTCAAGCCTCAGTTCCATTCTCAATCTCAACTGAATCCTCTTCATAAGTATCAACTCAGTCTTCAAGCTTCAGCTCTCTTACTTTACCAGTCTCAACTTGGTCTTCCTTATCTAAAAGCCACAGCTTTTCATAGTAGTCTTCCATCACTTAGAAGTGTCAACTTCACCCTTCAATTCTTGCTCAAAAAAGGAACTCCTCATTCTTCACTCAATCTCAATTGGATCTTCAAGTATCAACCTGTTCTTCTAACTCTTCTTGAATAATCCAAACAGAACCCTTGAACATCTGGGTACAAACACGGTTCACAGTTTCCAACTGATATCAATCCTTACTAAACTTCATTATAATGATCTACAGATGCACTACACGCTCCCCTTGCTATTCTAAACCAATTCATGCTAACTAGAACTCATCAAACAGTCAGTTCTTGCAAATTAAAGTTTTAAGGTTCTGCCATGGAACCTCATGGAATGAGCTATAACTTCTAGGGCTTAGTCATCTACCCTAACACAATCATTCTATACCTATAAAATGATCTATCTAAGCATAAATAAAGAGAAAGAGGGGAGTTCACCAACCTGTCAAGAAGCTATGGTGAGTGATGCTATGGCTCGAACCAAGGCTTGTAAATCCTTCAGGATGATCCTTTGATGATGGTTAACCTTCTGTTTGCACAATTCTTGAAGGAGAAGACTTGTAATGGCAGAATTCTTGAGTTGCTTCAAGTTGAAGAAAGGGCTTCAATGGCTATCTCTCCTTCTCTCTCCTCTGACTTGATTCCAACTTTCACCAACCATAGACTCTCCATAATGCACTCTTTTTATAACAATCCATGGAAGTCTCTAGATTCATCTAGAATGATGTGGAAGTTTCATGAATTTCTCCTTGAATGAGAAGTTGGTTATCTCATCTCCCATGCTTCAAGCCTTCAATTTGGTCTCAAAATGTCCTTATGTGAGTTATTGAATGAGGATGAGTGAAAAACAAGTGTATTGGTTGCTTGTGTAGGGTTTTCTAACATTGCCTTCTTTCTTAAGTAACAAATTTCCAAAGGAACCTCATTTTTTAAGCCTCAAATGAAAATTCTACTTAAACCAATCTTCTCAAAATGTTTTTTCCAATCAAAATGATATATTGGATGACCTATTTTGGATTTGTAGATCTTCCAAAACACTTTTCAATTTCAACTTTTCAAAGTTATAAG